TCCCTTCAGATCCATGCGTCCGTGGTTCAGTGGTAGAATGCTCGCCTGATTCGCCGGTCCTCGCTATCTTTTTGAAATTTCGATTGTTCAAGATTGGTGGCACGTAGGATGGATGAAAGAAAAAGGATGAATTATTTGAAATATGTTGATGATTTGTAATTTTTGAAATGTTAAGCTTTTGAGGTTGTTGGGAATGAGAATTGCACTGGTGTAACCGAGCATAAAGCTGTGATCGCCGAATGGACCAACGGTGAACCATATAAAACGTTCTATCGCTTCTGGTTTCGTAACATAATCACCATCTTCGTACCTTTCATTCTCCTTTTCTATTTCAACATACAAATTGTCGTACGTCTTCGAAGACAGCATCATGGGGCGAAGCTGTTTCGATTTGCTACCTCTGAACATCGAGTAATTCATTACCTTCATCTTATACTTTTATTATCTGTGAATCCGATTCCAATCGTGTCCTGGAACGCTGTTGTGTCGTCATGAAGTTTTTAAGTATTCTCTCTTTTAAATTTCATGTCACTCTGAAATCAAGCTTTTTTTGATGACATTTTCGTGATTATTACCAGCTCTTTCCGCTTGTTCTAAAATCTGTCGTCAGGAGAATTTCATCGACCCAAAGATAAAAGATACGAATCGAAGTGAAAGGAAACACTTGAATGTTAGATTTGCTGATGTTGCCTCCTCTGCAGAGATCACAAATGGTTTTTGCAGAAAAACATTCGTGCCGCAACTCGAATGCTAGTCCTTGTGTCATGCACGTACTTGGCATCAAATGTGCTGAACGTTTTCGTGAGTGCGTGGGAATTCGTTGATGTGGTAAGTTTGTTTTTTTTTTCATGAGAAAATTTCCAGCTCATCACGAATCTCATTGAATGATCACACTTTTCTCCACTTCACTTTCCAGCGATTTGAGGCGACAATGTCATGAAAGCTGAAATTTTGTAGGGTAGTTCTCAGGGATTGATCAAAATATTCTCGATGCTTACATTATTATGCCCATCAAGTTCTTGTGACCAACGTTATATTGTTATTCAGGAATTTTTGTTAACTCCTCAGTGGAGACCACTTTACACGTTCAGTTCCGATTTGGTATCGCTATTGACTGTATTATCGTGTGCATGTCGATTACCCATTTATTGCGCTTGCAATCAGAGGATAAGAATTGAGGTAATTTCTCTGTATGTTTCAGGAAATCATAAATAATCAGGTTATCAAGATGGCCGTGAGTAGCGAACTATCTTGACTTATTGCTTTACGATTCCATTGTAACTTGAAATGCTTGAATGACGGAATGAACAAGATATTTGACAAAGCGATGTTAAGAATTGAATGTGTGGTAGTTTTTACATGGCTATGGTGTGCTTGTTGGTTCCTGAATGAACTTCAGAATCAATGTTCATCCTATAAAGTGTCATAGATAGTCGAATGAATTATGAATCTATGAAACCGCTCAAGAATTTCGCAGATGGTTAAAAAATCATTTTTAAGGTGTCGGCTCGTCTGTTCAGTATTTTGCATTTACATCGGAATATAAATTGGCGCTCGAAATCGTTCTACCAGACGATGCGATATTGCAGTAGGTAGGATCTTACTGACCATTCAAGAAATAAAAAAATTCTCGTGATTGATAGGTTGGATTTGCACATTCTCGTCAAAAAATATCAGCCTATTTGATCGATTTCATGATAAACTTTGCACCGTTCAGGGAGGCAATATTATTTGTATTTCCCGAGGAATGTGAATTCCATCGGAGAATTCGGGCAAAGCAAACATATTTCATAAATTTGAAAAAAGATTTCAGCCAGAGCGCAGATATATTCGATATCGGTATAGAGTTTGCAAAATCCCGACGTTTTTTTCAATCCTGGGATCGGGATTTAATCCTGGGATCGAACATTTTTTGTAATATCGATGCGGCACATGTTCAAAAACATTTTCTCGAACCAATATATTATTTATTAATCAGAAAGGAGTTAATTCAAGAAATTATTGAACGAATTCGAGGAACCAAATTATTCAAATTCAAATTAATATTTCACATAATGTTGCTAATAATCATGTCGTAAGGGCATACTGCATTTTCTATGCTAAGGCATCTTGTTGTCTCGAGTCTAAGCTAATAACAGCACACTTGCATGTGAATATGAAATTCTCGATTCTCAAACACTTATTTGTAGTGCTTCAAGTCCATTTTCTCGCATTATTAACATCAGGTGAATTCTGCCATTTCGGAAATTTCGATTTCTTATGAAAGAAATGCATCGCATAAATTATATCATTTGAATTTTGAAAAAATTAAAAGTTCAGAGTTTGTCTATAAAGTCAAAAAAATCCGCAATGAATTTTCATCGAACCATCAAGCACTTACATGTTTGATAATTTCGATCAGAGATCATGGAAATGTACTTGATAGTTAAGCTTAAGATCCTTTTGAATGGAACAATGTCCCTCACTTCGACAGTAAATTCTTACTATGAGTGAAATCAGTGAGAATTAATGTACATACATTTCGAACGGATGAAAGTGTTTCCAAATAGCGAAGTAAAAAGACTTGCAGTCTTTAGAACATGCAGTTGAATTAACAAATGCAATATTGAAGCCGAAAAAATCGCGTTGGAGAAAACGACTCAAAATTTCGTTGAATTTTGTTGCTCTTGGTTCTTATTAGAAAATGTGATTATCTCTGTTAGTCTACTTAGAAATGCATCGAGATGAGCGTGATATAAAGCAATGAAGTGCAGAATAATCAGTGGTATATTCAATGAAATGTTACGTAAAAGTTCATCGAGCTGTCGTTGATCATGTCATTCGTCCAATTTGTGTCTATTTCCTCAGCTATTCTTCAATGATAGATGGCAAACAACAAAGATGACTGCATATGAATAAGATGGGAATGATTAAGGCTTGCTTCAAGATGAGCATACTATCACAATTCACGCAGATTGACCTGTTTCATCAAATCCCGAAATCCCGGGATTTTTCAAAACTTAAGTCCCGGGACCGGGATCAGAACTGAAATCCGGGGATCCCGGGATCCCGTGCAAACCTTAATCGGGCATGCTTATGGAATGTTTTGTTTAATAAAAGTGAAAACAAATCACGGCATGAGATCCCTAACTATTCTTACTAACCAAATTACTAATTAAAGTACGATACTATAGCACTTTTATTCTATGAATTACCATTCTCCATTTCATCATAAAAGTTAAAAAAATTATAATATAAAAAATTTTCAGTGGGAACGGTGTGATAATATATGAAGCGAGCAGTTCGCTTGACAATGATAACAGTGGCAAAAAGAATAATGAAGAGAAGAATGATAATGCTGATAGCATGGAAAAAGTGGTGCATTATAAGAGACGTTCAAAGAAATGTGTTGGTACCCGGATTGATAAAGTTGTGATCTCGTTGGCTCTTGGACAAGTTAACAATCAAGCGGATAAGACTAATCGCGATTCGTTGACGAAACCGAGTTATCAGTTCAGCAATAATGGTAACAACAATAACAACACTGATACTGATAGAAAAGTATCGATAACAAAAAACAATGATGCTGTGAATAACTATACGAATGTTGACAATGAACATGATATCGATAGTAACATTGAGAATGCAAATGAATTCGATAGTAGCAATAGTTGAAATACCGTCAGCTTGATTAATAGATAAACTCATGATTATAAACATCACCACATGTAACATCACCACATCACCACAATAGCATCATCTTCTATGATTGTCGTTTCTGAACGTGGTAATCTTGTTTCTTAAAAACTCTGAAATTCCCATTCAGGAGTTGTATGAAATTTTTATCTTTTCCTATACGATTGCAGTTATTGAATGGAAATTTTCTGGATCTTGACAGAAGGATCAGCGATCTTCTGGACGTCACATGTGAAAACAGTTGTTCAAGCATTTCGTAATTTGATGAGATATTTCGAATGTTAATTTCATCCTTTTCTCTTATTCATTTTTTAATCCTACTCCATTCATCTACCGTGCTATTTTCCTTCGTATCATTATTTTCTCATTCTCTTCCGCACATCTCTTTTTTTTTAAACGCAAGCCCCTCTTTCTAGAAGCGATATAAATCTATCTGTGCATACGAATGCAAGCAATACATTCGATCAAAATTCTTTCATATTCACGCATTGTCGTTTCGCTTTGCCGTTTGTGGTGTAGTATTATAGTTGGAGTATTATAGTTGTAATGTACTGTATTGGATTCTTGTATCTGATATGAATATTTGCCGGTTACTTTGAATTTTGATTTATTATTAAATATTTCAAAAACAACAGCACGCATACGTAAGATCGATTTCGACTAACACTAGTTGATCCTACATTTTGAATGGTATAGCTCAAAGTAGATCAGCCGAAATGATCACTGGCGTTTGCTAGATGAATGCTGATGGATCGGTTTTGATCATGAGCTGAAATTGGGACCACGAACTTCAAGCTTCGAGTTCAATTTTCATTTGCATTTATGGTCATTGGAACTGTAAATTACTATCTTATTGTTGCAGTGTTTATGACTGTAAGAATAACATTACGTGTTAAGCAGCTTGTTACGATCGTTTGACATCGATAAAGCAGATTGTAATGATTCGTCTCTTTGTTTCATAAAATTTCCATTTTTTCTTGCATGAAAAGACTTTAAGAAAAATTTGTACCAATGAAGACCAATCATTAATGAAAGTTTTCAACTGATTTCAAGACTGCAAGATTCTCTCTAAAATTTCGCATTTTGCCTTGTTATTTGAAAGTTGGGTTGTTAAAATTCGTTCATTGTAAAGGGGAGAAACAAGCAGATCCCGATATTTTGACAGCTTCTGAAAATGGGTTCGTGCTTAGCAGAGAAACCATATGAACTGACAAGATCAAAACGAGTCGATTAAAAACTTCAACACATAGCTGAAAATGTCATCCTTCGTCCGTGTTGAAGCATTAGAAACTTTACGATCAGAAAGATGACACGGACCTGCGTGAGAATTCGAGCACTATTTGTAGCGATTAATTACCAGCCTGGTACTTGGGCATTTAGCAAACTGTATTTGCTTTGTTCCGCACATTATTTTATTTGAACGTTACCAGTTGAAAATAAATGTTTATATGTGTACAATTAATGAAGTGTTTCTTCGTTAAAAACAGGTTTTTCAGTTTTTCAATCTATTGAGAGATAGTTTGAGAGTTACATATTGATACATTCATCAATCAAGAGGGTTTCAGAGGGAACGTTTCCAAAAGATTATTGAAATGATATAAGAAGAATTGTTACTGAGTATATTAAGATACTTTATCAGATACTTTATACTCTATGGAACTTTGATCCACTGATATGAAAACAACAGATTTTTGAAACCTTCCTCTATATTTCTTCGAAACAAAAATTATAAGTCAAAAATTTTGCCGCGTATGACAGTTTCAAGGTTATCCATCAAGCGCTGCAGCAATTGTGTTAGATTGAAGGGTTAGTTCATAAATTGATCGAATTGTTTAATCTATTTATGAGCCAACCCTTTAACGAGGAAGAATACAGATGAGCATACGAACGGAACGGAGCACACAATTGATTCCTCTCCTCTATCTCTAATTCATCAGTTTTATGGTTATTGTTCTAGGAATTGAAAATGGATCACACGTGTAACTAACTCTATATGAGATGGGATTTTGCTGTTGGAACGATTGAGAAACGTTGTATAGATTGAATCTGGCTGATGCAAGCTTTCAATTGCGTTCAGATGAATGTGTTGCCACTTGTATGCATTGTGTGCTTTCACTCGATATTGCTTCACTTCACATTCAATATTTGCATTAACATTTCAAACATGTAGCGTATAGCATATAACAGATAGCAGATGGCAGAGAGGAAGCATATCGAGTGGAGTCAGTCAAAGTTAGTACAGCCAGCAGCCAACAACCAACAAATACACCACCATCATTACAGCAAGGTTTTTCGGATTATTAAAGAGTGATGCGGAGACAGAGCGATACTGAAGGCAGTCAACATAGCTATGCTCAATTCGAAATTCATTTCCTGTTCTTCACGTGAACGACGGACTTGTGTTAACATCGAGTGCGTTCAGAGTCATCAAAGAACCATGAAGAATAAGACGAAATGCATGCGTTATGGCATGATTCTCATCGTGTGATCTGATATATATGAATCGATGATGAGCCAATTTGTTGTGTATGTTATTGGGAAATGTCCGTTCACTTCTATCGACTTTTGAATGTCTCCCATTTCCTAATATTATAGCATTCGTGCTTACTTACAATTAGCAATTTACGAGCATTTGTGTTAAGAGACAAATTCATCTTAGCATCGCAGCGTCTTTTAGTTTTCCATCCCATCTAAGCTGTAGGCAAACTAAGCCGAACAGCGGCTAACTGCACTCAACCGTTCCCAGTTCCAGTTCAATGCGTATCGCTCGTTCATGTTTCTTTATTCCCATTCGTGTTCCATCATATTCCAGTGACAAAATTTTCTTATTTCCTTTCGTAACTCCCCCGTTCCTTCACCATTTCTCTCTTAATTTTGTTTTCGAATTCTTCCAAGAGATCTTGGGTTAGTAATTAATAGGTAATGAGCGTTTTCACAGCGAGGATGGATACTGCCTTGGATGAGTATAAAATAGTTTCTTGTTTGTGGGTTAATGGCAATTGAAAGATGAGAATCTCGCGGAATTTTTGGGTTGGTGGGAATAGTTGAGGCAATGAAGATTTATACCGAAGTTGTGGAAACGTGGACAAAAACCAGTGATATTGTTGATGAAATTCGATCGATACTTGTTTTCTGTAATGATACGAATGCCAGTAAGTAGTAATAATGATTACTGAGTAAACAATAATAATGTGATAAATATGAAAGGATCGAACGAGGGAGAAAGTGTTGAGGTCGATTCGAACCTCAGTCGATCAATAATAGGCAACAGCCGATCCACACACTTCTCATCACGATCAAATATAGGCCACACTAAAGATGTCTTCACCAAAAGGCGACGATGATTCGTCGTTGATGCCAGGCCCTCAAGGCAAAACACCACGTTTGTACGAAGTGGAACGGGGACAAAAAACCGAATCTTATATTGTCGCGATCACTGGAAACAAGGTGCCAGTGAAATTTGTTAAGGTGATTCAGTTAATTTCCTTGAATTTTGTTTTTGTTGTTTGTTTTTCGTTCATTTAATGTAACCATCGTGAAATTCATTAGCATCTGCATTGTTTTGAACTCTTCATGTTGTCATTATCACGATAAGTTTCAATCATTCGAAGAAATTGCTCTCCAAATGTGACTACCAATCAGGCAAGTGAGTAGTCGCTCGTAAACACATTTGAAGCAAATTAGTAGGTGATATTTATCCGTTAATAAGTTGTGATGACATCCGAACGAAGTTTCAGTTCAGTTGCAATCCGACCGATTTGTACATTTTGAGATTCCGAGGTTTGAAATTCCAACCGAATTTCGGAATTCTTTGGTCGAAGTTCAAGCGAATTCACGCTTTAAAATTCTGATATTCGGAATTTTGGCCGACTTTCGGAATTCATCGGTCAAGATCCGGCCCAATTGACATTTTGACATTGCGATATTCGGAATTCCGACCGAACTTCATAATTGTTCGGTTGGAATTCAAATATCGGGGTTTCGACAGAAATCGGTCAGATTTTGCCATCACTATTGATGAGGTATTTGCCTTGATATATGACAGCTGGGTGGGGATATGCTTCGAGTTGAATTTGTGTCAAGCATTTATAACGCATTATATGATTCTGTGATCATTCACTGTGGTGTCAGGCAAGGCTTTTTACGGCAATCAAGTGAACGAAAGAATAGAATGAATGAAAAGAAAAGGGAGCAAGAAATTTGAGAATCAAGAACATGCTTTCAGGATGCACCAATCGTGCCTGGCGCTCCTTCAGATGAACCGCACAAGGTTATACTTCTACCAAAAGATCAGTCAATCGCAGAAGTACCGCTACACCGTCCCACACAACCTACTGCCCCCATCGTTGTGTCTCAGCAACCTCAACAACAACCAAAGGTCGATGTGGTACCCGTATCGAATCAGCCAAGCACAAAACAACAACCGCCTGCTGATATTCGTAAACCTGAACCTCCGGTTCGCTATATACCATCAACCACCACGACGACTGCTCGTCCAAATGATGCACCAACACAACCCATGAAAAAGTCCACCCCACCACCTAGCTACGAAGAGCACAACGATCCGGACGTGAAGTATAAGCCTGCGACGAAAGACGTTAATAAAGGTTTGCCCAATGTGGAACCACAAGCCAGAGATGAGTTGTTGCCGGCGAAAGAGGACAATGGTAACTTCGGATTATCATTAGCCGAATTGGAGAGATACAAAAATGATCCTTTCTGGAGAACGCTTAGGTGCGCATTTCGAATTAAACTTTATCATAATATCAACTCTTAGTGCTTTACTATCATAACTCATTAACTTTTTACCTGATAATCGATGTTTCCAATATGCCGACTAACCACAGACCTTTATCTATGTCGATGTTTTTATGATTTTAGTTATTTGTAATCGTTGCCTTACTCTGACCTTTCACGATTATATCGCCTCGTTTGATGAAAATGCAATAACTTCGTGTAAAAGATCTACTTTCACATTGTAGTTTTTAGAAAAGTTTCTTGCAGAATTGATCAATTCATTGGTTGAAGTTCAGTCTATGTAACGATCAGAAAGTTCTGCTTTTTCAGATGGATTTTGTTCGTATTGTTCTGGCTTCTATGGATTCTGATGTTCTTAGCCGCAATTCTTATCGTAGCCCTTAGTCCAGGATGTGCGGTTAAGGTGGCTCCAAGTTGGTGGCAGAGTGCCACTGCGTATCATGTCAGTTGTCGAGGAGAACTTTCTGACCTTTATGTTAACTTTACACGAAATGAAAGTTTGTCAGGAATTCTTTTCATAGATACCAATAAATCTGGTCTAATGGTTGTTTCATTTTCGAACCAACCTATGGATATCTTTGAATAGAATTGAAAATTGCATGAAAATTTTGCTCAGATTTGGACGCCATCATTCCAAGATTCTGATGGCAATGGATTGGGTGATTTGAATGGTGCAGTCGACCGACTCGAGAACATTCGTCGACTGGGAGTGTCGGCAATTTGGGCGTCACCGCTACTGCTCTCGGATGGTTTCAGCGATGCGATACGAGACTTCAGAGCAATCGATTCGAAGTTGGGCGTGAATGCAGATGGCGATAAATTCATACAAGCCGTTCATGATAAAGGTTTCAATTTTACACATCAATCGTCAATTTTACAACCGGATTCATCGATACTTTTATGAGTGAAGTGATGCTGTTGTGGACAAACAATAGTTTGATTTCTCCGATAGGTAGCAAATGCAAAAACTCTTTGCATACTTTCTTAACTTCACTTAGTACAAGTTCGAGCCTCAGCCTAAACCTATGACAAGACAAGTTGTTCGGTAGGCTACCTCATTGTTTGATAGGCTACCTTGATAGGCTTTCTGTTGGAAAGTCTGCGAATAATGACTAAACTCTCGTTGAAATGATAGCTTTGGAAAGAGCAAAAATCGCTCTCTACGAAGAAAATAATGGCGAGGTTAAAATTTTGTACGAAGTTATTGTATCATTGAAGGAATGCGGGTAGTGATGAGTATCCCGGTGAGTATCACATCAAACGAACACGATTGGTTCATACGCAGTTCGAAAGCATCTCTCCCGGAAAACGCCAACTACTCTGGATATTACCACTGGCGTTCATCCGGTGTGGAGCCGTATATGTCGGAATTTAGGAACACTTCCGTTTATTATATTCATTATGCAAACAAACCGAATTGGCCAATGTTGAATTGGCAAAATAGTGCGTTAAGACAAGAGATGTTTGTGAGTTATTTTATCAAATCATTTTTGATTTATTTCAAGAATTTCTGAAGAAATTCAATTGATATGGCTGCTGTTAGTTCGTGATTTTCGAATGGATAAACTGAACTGAAACATTTCGTCGAGTGTTTGGCAATCGAAATTAGTGTGAAGATAGCGATAAGAGTGACAGTGAAAATAACATTAATAACAAATGAGCAGCGAATTTTTGTGTTGGGAAACTTATTGATGAGATGAGTAAGCATAACGATGTGAGACTAGTGGAAGGAAACTTATCAATAATGGTTACTATTTGAAGCAATATAATAATAATGACAGTTGTTATTGCAGAGTGTGTTCTCTTATTGGACAATTATTGATAATCACAATAAGAATTAATTTTGATAATTGCAGGATGTGTTTTCTTACTGGATTGATAAAGGAGTCGATGGATTCCACTTGAATGATATTGAATATTTGGCTCGTATTTCGAACGGCAGTGCACCGGTTCGTGTTTGATATCATTCGAAACTGTGCATACAGGCGTTTTGCTCTCTTGTTAATGGTTTGAAAAGTTATTTTGTTCACGCGAATGGTCGAATTGTGTGCAGAAATTAATGACAATAGTATGATGATATCGATAATGATTTGTTCGCGCGAATGGTCGAATTGTGTGCAGAAATTAATGACAATAGTATGATGATATCGATAATGATAGTGAAGAAGTGTTGCAGTCATAATATGACATAAATTTTAGAATTGGCCTGCAATCTATGACGTACTGCGTGATATCAAGGATCATATTGAAACGTATGCGAACAAGAGTGAAACGGCAAGTGGAAAGAAAATGTTAGTAGTGGTTTTGAATTAATTCACAATTTGGAGTGAAATTTTTCGAGATCCTACTTCTGAAATATTTTGTTTTAGAATATTCATCTACGCATTTCATCAACGCAGCAAATGAACTATTGTAATCACTGATGCGTCACTCTTTGTATAAGTTTCATTATGAGTATTCATTCCATCACGGTCTTGTAGATCGTGAAGTAATGAAGTTTCTAACACTATTGGTAATATCAAGAATATTTCAAAATTGCGACAGTGATTCCAAACGAATATTTCAGAATCATATATGCATCTCGCGATAACGCAAAGGAGAATGATAAGAAGCAGTTGGCGGCGAGTGGTCTTGATTCAGTGATCAACTATGAATTGGGTATGGTTGGAAAAGCGAATCAAATCTGTTACAGTAACGAGGATAGTATTGCGGGTTGTGTGCATGAGTTGTTGTCTGATGTACTCGCATTCCACAAGGATAACGATCAAGTCATCCCGATGTGGGAGGTACGTGATGCTGATTTATTGTGTTCTTCGTTATCTGTTTACTTTATTCATCAATTGTTATGTTCACACATTCACTGCAAATGGGATCAAGGAAGGAGCGTCTTGCAGTTGTAATATTTCACAGGTCCATGAAGAACAACAGTCATGCATAGTTCTTGGATTGTGTTGGAATCACTTTTGAAATGGAAATTATCAAACGATTTTTGTAAAAATTGAGACATAAATTGATTTCAACTGTGTGAATTATTGAAAGATGAATAAGAAAATGAATGTTTTGTTTATATTTTGAATTTAGTTTTGTGAACATTTCACTTGAAATCTCTCCGAACAAATGGAATAAAGAGTGAATTTGGGTTTCAGTTCGGTAGTCCATCTCTGCCGCGGTTGACCAGTCGTGTGCAGTCGGCAAAACAGGCGGAAATGTTGACAATGCTTCAACTTCTGTTGCCCGGAACGAACAGTTTCTATTACGGCGAAGAGATCGGTATGCATGATCTGCGTAATGATTCGGCTACACCACCTCAGCGTGGCGCTATGCAATGGGATGATTCGAAGAATGCTGGATTTTCGAGTGCGGATAAACCGCAAGTGGAAGTCGATCCGAGCTACAAAAAGATCAATTGGGCTGTAAGTTCGTTCAGCCGTTATTTCTTCAATACACTTGCTTCTTTATCAGTTTATACGAGTTGCTGTTCGGAACGAATTTATCGACCAATCAGTCATTGTTCATTCGTTCTCTACATTCTAAAGGGAAAATTTTTGCTTCATGTTAAACTGCTGAAATGCCTTTTAGCATTTTGTTAAATTTCATATTCCCATAAGGTTTTCTATACAAATTCAATGTATGTTCGAATTGCTGTAATGAGAATTTTTTGAAATCTGCGCAATACTGATTTACGATGAACTTGATTTCTTAGTTTTTAGGATTACATTTTGTTCGTTTTGGTAACGGTTATATGGCGATATTCATCTGAAAAGTATTTTATTATTTCAGCAACAGTATTCCGAATCACGTTCACCACTGAAGGTGTTTCAAAAGTTAGCAAAAATGCGCGTTCGTGATGAAATTTTAGCGTTTGGTGATGCACATATTGGTGATTTGATCGATGGTGCATTCATCTTGGCCAGATATCCTTCTTCAGAACAGAACACAACTCAAGGACATGTGAGTGTGCTCCTTCGGCAATTAGTCATTTCGTTTATCTTTATGTTCATCATCTCTGCCATCCTTATTACGCTTATTCGTAATCGTTGAACTGATTGGTTGAGTTGTTATTTTTTATGCAGTCTGAGGAATGCTGCGTAGTTATTATAATAGCTGCAATAGCAATATTTTTTAAAGATTATGATCTCATTTTTCCTCACTGATGATCTTTGCTGTGCAAAGTAACTTGTACTGATAGCGCGGTAGCATTGTACTGAAAATAACTTCGAATNAGTGAGTTATAATAATGAAGTTAGCGACAACTGTTTATTTCTCGTACTGACACTTATGTTGCTTTCGAATCTCTTGGCAGTAACAAACTGATAGGCATTAGTTCAGAATTCAGTAAGAAGTATCTGACAGCTGAAGATTCTATGTCATAAAACCCAATGGATTTCACAAACTTCGCATTTCAGGTGTTATTCGGTGCGTTCAATTTTGGTGTGTCAAGCGTCAAATTGCCGTTCGCCGGAATTCCCGTTCTTGCATCATCGCCAAATTTGGGTAGCGCTCAGTTTGTGACGGCAACGTCGAATACGGAAGGCTTTTACGCACGGCAAGAAATCGATCTAAGCAGTGGAGCTGTTGTCGTCGCACCTGAGCAGGGGATTGTCTTCAAAGTCGCACTATAAATCAATGAAAAATGACAAAAAAAAATTCGAAATTTTCTCATCCTTCTCTCTAATGCACATCTCTACTAACCATTATCATCACATTTAACATACGATCAGTGAATTATTATCCGAGTGCATGCGATTGAGTTTTCACTCGAACTAGTCCGCATAATCTGGTGTAATTTTTCAGTTTTCGTAACGCGACAATTTTGAATTTTTCTACATTCTTCGATGAAAACTTTGTTATTCTTATTTTTGCTTTTGCAATAACTCCACTCGCTGACTTATTTTCATTGACACATCCTCATTGTTGATATCATTTTCTTAATGATACTATTGCTATTGCACTATTCTCACTTTCTTCATCACCTTCTCTGGTATCGTTATTACTAATATTACTTCTGGAATATTTTTAATCCGATAATACAGTTGTTGCCAATATTGTTGAAATTTTACCCAATTTATAGTCATAGTGAATACATTTCCTGCTTTGTATGTCACATATGAATTTACATTTTCAATAGATTATATAACTGTAATATTACGATTACTGTTAGAAGAAATTTCAATCTGATCAAATTCCATCGATTTATTCGTAAAAGTTGAAAAGTGTCGAGAAGGGGTTTTGGCTTCTCGGTGAGTTTTGCTGTACCGTTGTTGTACGAGAACGAAAGGCCACGAGAATTAATTTATTGCGGATCATATATATTAGATCAACAATATAGCGATGAGAAATCTCCTACGATATATGAAAGGTTAACAATGTGATGATTAACAACTGAAGAAACGGTTGCTTCGAAGGTGAAAAATAAAGACGAATTGAAGGAGAAAAGGACGAAACAGGGGGTCTGTTGAGGTAGGAAAAAAGTGGAAGTCTCGTAAGCATGGGCTGCAGGTATTGATACATTTTTCTTGAGGTAGAATCGTGTTGATCATTTCATGGATTTATTGTTTTGATGGTTTTCATTGCTGGTCGTCTGGAAGTTAGTGTAATGGATTTGTACTTTTGATGATTTCCGTTGTTTTGACCGAGTTTAGCTGGCTAAATTGGATGGATATACAACCAAATTCATAAAAAATGACTTGTGTCATCAATCCCGAAAATCCCGTGAATCCCAAAAACATGAATCCCGGGATCGGAAGTGAGTTTCAAAGTTCGGGATTAGCGGGATGCCGTACAAACCCCACTTAAAACAATGATGAAGTTGCTAACAACAGTCCAAATACTCAACGATGAAGTTGCTAACAACAGTCCAGATACTAATGATACATACAATGATAACGGCAGTCCAGTCGTTAATCAAATGCTTAATCGAGTGCAATGATTATCATTTGACAAAAACTGACTCTAATAAAATGTCAGTCACTGACAGGTATTTTTGCTTTCGAAAAACCAATCTGCTTGTTGTCAACATCGTAGATGTGGCAATATTGACGGATGAACGGAGTACCGAGGAACACCTGTGGCCCTAATCCCATGCCATCTATCGGATGCAACATTAGCATACAGATACCTTCAGTTCCCTGAAAATTGAATTCCCATCACCTTACCGCCGATGATTTAACAGATACCTCCTTCTGCTAAAATCTCGTCATCTACTAAGACCATATCACATAATGTTCAATTGTTTTCAAATTATAATTATAATGGCTGCTTATTATTTCGTTTCCGTCAACGACAGCAATGATGGCCCATAGTTTAAGAGAACATTCCCAATGTAATTAGGGATCTGGGAGGAGAATATCAACAAAATATTCCAGTTGTGGATTGGTAGTAAATTTTGATCCAAGATAACCCGTAAATTACACTTGTGTTCCAAGACAGATGAACTCCATGAGGAATAGAGATGCTGGGGGGAGAAAAACTTTACTTAGGTTTGAATATTTCGACGAATTTTGGAGAAGTTTAAGGGTTTCGAGTGAGGATTGCACTGATTAGCTCAGATATGATTTCGATTCTAAACAATGTGGTCAACAACGAGATGAAAATGCGCAAACCTGAAGAATATAGTTGGTCGGTTCAATTTCATACGTATGATCACCAATTTCTATTTTGATGTTTTTGGTGAATCCCGAGCAGTTCGAAAAGAACAAGTCATAAGTTGGATCATACTGAAATGAAATGAAATGTGCTCCATTCGCCAATGTTACTTGAAAAACATAAATTCTTACGGCCAACGATTTAGTCTGTGTTCGCTCAGCAAAACGAATACCATATAAATCATTCCAATCTCACCGTCGCGCCAAGTTTTTTCGCTATTGAATTGATCATCACGAATGGTCCTTCAATGTACGATGAGCCAGTATCGGACAGCACCTCGTAGCTTGTCGCGTTACTACGGTAAGTACCAAACGAGATCGATTTCATAGTGAATTGCCAATGGGCGTCCGAGGAGAGTGGTTGATATACGACATTACCCTCACAGTTGTGGCTGTCCACTCCACCGTAAGTAAATATTCCAGCCGGACCATAATTTATACCACTGTTCTAAACCTCGATTTAATCAATTCAAATTCAAATTAAATTACAACTTATTAGGATAGCAACTGCTTGCTTCTCAGTTTTTATTAGCGTTGTGAATATCACATTCTTCTTTCATCAATATTCCTCTTCCGTAAGAGTCGATGGTAATGGCATTAGAATGGTCATTGATGATTATAGAGGCATAACAGGTGTAGGGAATGTTCAACCGTAAGAAGCATGATGATGACAATTTATGGAGTAATTTATCCGGACTGACCGGCTCTGATACCCTTCCTCTGAATGTTCAGACAGATTTCTTGGTTGTACAGTAACGCTATCAACTCTGTCATGGTTAGCGCAGTGTGTATTTGATTTCCATTCGCAAATTCACGAACTCCAATAGAATATCATAGATCGAGGATACATTATGGACATCTTCAAAAGGCTTCAATTTCACGATAGCCCAGCAAAATGTTTCAAAATTCTTTGAATGCTTGTGATTCTCTGGCAGCTCAGTCTGTTTGTTTATGAATCGAGGCGTTTGCAAGATTGATAACTGAGGAATCTATACTAACCATCGGGTGAAGCCAAACAGTGAAAACTCGTTTATCGAGAAGACGTTGATCCCAGGCATTGTTCAACGGTGGCAAAACTTCTCCAAAGGCGGTCGACTGAAATCCGAGACCAAGAATTCCACCCGCCTCGTAATATTCGAATGAATCACTGATTGCTGACGCTTGACCAAATGTCGTATTCGCTACCACTAATTGAGACCCTCCTTTTTTACCGAACTGAAACACTCAACAGATTTCATCAGTCTTGTGAATATGAATGAAATCTCTTCAATTTCTCGTTAAGCTCCTCATTTTTCTGACTGAATACGGTCAAATTTGAACATACGACGCGTATGTGGCAATGATCAAATTGCTTCATTCTCACCACATTATAAAGCAATATTTTCAGACTCTGTTATCTCTTAGCCTTAAGTCGACAGGTAACCAATTCCTGTATGTATTCGTCAGAGTTCGATCAAGGAGCCTATATGAGGTCAAAATGTTTCAAACTGTATAGGCAAAGTAAAATCACTGGATTGGATTAAATTGACTGGATTATCTTGGATTAACTTGAATCGATGAAGCTCTCCTCAGGAAATGGTTCAAGCTTGTTGACGGGCTTCAACTAATGACAGGTCTGATTTGTATGCAGTTGTTCTTGACCATCTCACTTGTTCTTATTCAACCAGGTGAACATGAAGACTTGTTACCTAATTGATCATCACAAAATCAGAATGATACGCAGAGAAATAAGCACTTACACGAACAACGTCCTTACCGAACAACCCTGCCGCATCAATTATTCCATTTTGTATTGTCCAGTTGCCTCCGACTGATTCGTAGGTTTCTGATGCGGACGAATTAAAATTTTGCTTAATTTTGCAAACCTCGCTAGACTGCCTGAAAATTAATCACCTCGGTTAATATTCATCGAAACAGAGCCCTCTTCAATTTCTCTTTATTTTCAAATTTCTCTAACAGCAACATCGAAATTTCACAAAGAGTTTGCATTAACGCACAATCGAATGCACGCTGCTGTCAACTTCACGATAATCCCGGAATCGCTTTGAAATCAGTCATAAACGAAAGACAAGGCAACAGCTCATCCATTTCTAAAGTTTTTCATGCAACTGAGCGATTCCATTGTACAACCAAACCCTTTTCATTTTGACCAACCAAAGTTCAATAGTATTGCATATGATAACGTTAGATTGATCAAGCATGCATTGCGATGACCACTCTTCTGGAGATTTTGAATCTCAGAAACTAGGTCACAATTTAACATCTCTTGGTTTTTTGAGCATGCATAGTTAAAAACTCTTGGTTTTCGGCTTAGTTATGAACTCAAATCCAAAACATCCATGAGGAATTCGGAACATGCTGGCTGTTCTAGTGACTGTTCGATGAACCACAAAATTGCTTATCCTCATTCAAGTCTAGTCCAATAGATAAAAGTACTCGCTATGAAGAAAAGAAAACTCCTACTCCGCACAGCCTTCGCAGAGAAGTCCACATGACGATCCTGAAAATATACTCGTTGGTTGAATATATTAATAGATTCATTCCACTTCAACAAGTTTATTGAGGTCATAGTTTTACCAAAGGTTTTGAAAATATATACGTTAAAGCCATTCTCGCTTTCTTTACACATATTTATGCGTTGAAATCTGCCCTCGCCTACTTTCATGTATAATAAATGAAATGTTACTCGCATTCCCCTGGAATGCTCATCCAATGGGTGCGAGCATCATCCAAGAGCAAGATGGTATTAGGTGAGAAACTCTCAAATAAATGAATCCCAAAATCGATCGCATGCTCAGTGGCACAATGGGCTGCTTTTCTATGCCATTACATCTTATTCAAAGGTGAGTTCTGATGGCGTGTCGCTAAATCAATTTTAGATTTTTTTCATCAGTTTTCATTCTACTAATTGTCGGTAACGAATCTATCGGTAACGACCACCACAGGACTGAACAGTGTGGAATGTTGCTAATGATTAATTGAAGTGAAATTTGACAGAAAAAAACTCACTAGATGAGTCGCATAAAGGTGTTCCACAAGTCGAATCAGGTACCCACAGAATTGATGAGCTCGTATCAAGGGCAACGAGGAATTTTTGCTCTGGGGTACCGATCGTGATAACGCCAAAAAATTCGAAGTCAGTGTAGCGGTATACCTAAAAAGAGCAATAGAGAATTTGAAATGATCAATGAATTTCGATTGTTGACTACTTCTGTTTGTTATCGTCTATACGGAGACAGAGGCAGAGACAGAGACCTCCAACCAAAACCGTCGACATTCCTCCAGTTGACCACATTTCAATAGCAGGCAGATTTTGAAAACTGTTAGAGCCGTTACATGAGAAACGGTCAACTTACACAACATAATGACACCCATGGCCAGGTCAGCTTTCAATGATTTCATCATCTGTCAAATTTCGGAGTCAGAAAAAGCATTACCAAGATCACAAAATACCTGTTTTTTTTTCGCAATAATCAACTCTTAGTCATCTCTGACTTCATATCGTCAAGATCCATAATCAGAATTTCGTCAAATTGGACTTGAGTTCGATCACTACTCGAACTTATCCAACGGAAGTAAACTTCACAAAAATATTCAATCATTTGCTCTTTCCACTCAAAAGGTCACTCAAAACGCTCGCGAATCACTCAGAATCCGTCAAAAAATACTCCTTGCTGAGAAACTTACAGATTGTTGAGCGAATTTTCGGTTTCTATAAATCAATTTCTGCATTTCTTGCTGTCGGCTGTACTCTACCCATCTACCTTCGCGCATCATCTTAACACGCTGGCTCGTTTGTTTCATCAGAGGCATCTGATGAACTGCCGCATCCACATACCAAAAGACGAAGCCGAATGCCACCAAAACCAGCAATGAAAGTTCGCTGCGAAGCATTGTTGGAGAACGAAACGACAGATAAATCAGGATACAGTGGATGACTGATCAAGCGACGACTCAGGAACACACTCGGTATCGGACTCTCTAACGTAAGCAAAAATGCCGTTGACAGATTATCGAATATGCTTTACCGAGAACCAATCACGATAAAAACATGCACCAAAACATCATCGGAACAAGCTTATATCGTGAAATCGTTATCAGCAATCCAAAACTGTAAACAACATAATGTGGCGTGATGATGTTTGAATAATCTGTAAGATTTTAAGAATAAGTTAGAAATGATGGAGATAGAATTTGAAGGCACATCACATGCTTGTTCTGTGAGTGGAATGTTCGTAGTCATAAGGTAGAGCACTAATAACAATAATCGAAAGATGCTTACGGTCATCATTTCCTTGTTGTGTGAATCGTTATCAGCATTTCAAGGATGTCAACACTTCAAATCAAACATGATGATGATCTTTGAATATTGTATTGTCAGTGCTCCAGAAATTTGACGGCACGTCTAAAGTGCACTCATTTATTCGTGGAGCTCGCGCGTCATAATATTTATATGAATATTTATAATCATAATATTTATGTGAATCATTTTAACATTCGCGTTTTTCAATTACATGATCTTTGTCATTATCAACTTTTGTTGTTGGGCCGTTTCCGTATCATTGATACTTTCAGCGGATTACTGATAATAATGATTCCATTCACCAGTTGATCCGCTCTTACGATTATTATTTCATCTCTCACTCTTTCGATAATATTTATTCCCATTGCGCCTACACTATCCCGATCAATTCTTAATTTGCTAATTTGTTGCTTTCTTTTATTTGGATCAAAAAACTTCTCACTGAATTTTTACGCCCACTTTATCGCAATGACTTGTGTAATCGTTAAAGTTATCGCAATAATTTGAGTAAACGTTAAATTTGAGTGATTTGTTCGTTAAATATTCACTGTCAGTCGTGTCGTACTCAAGATTATGTAAAAAATTTATCTTCAAACCGGCAAAATGCTCTACAGTGAAAAGAGAGCACAAGAAAATTCTCATTTGACAGAAAACGAAAACGAATGCAAAATTTTCATTTGCAAGTAAATTTGATGGAAATACCCGATCAGTATATGGTAACAACAAATCATTGAAGCATTTCTCATATCGCTTGAGAAACATCAAATGCAAAATTGTTGAGGAGAACATCATCTTAAGAATGATACTTGCTATAATCACAGGTTAACACTATACGTAATCATCAGGAAATTACTGGCTTACATGCAATACTGTTATGAAAGGACCAAGTAATTTTGGTGTTCACAAATGATATTGCAAAAACTAATTACAAAAAAAATTAATAATAACAATCAGAAAATAAGGAAGTTAAGCAAAGAACTTTACGGTAAGCTAAGAAAAAATAGGCTGTTCAATAGAAAAAATAAATCCCTCAAGCGATTTCATTGAACCAATGGAAGGAGCTAATCCACAAGACGTAACATCTATTTTCAGAAACCATAAGCTTCTTATCGTTGAAAGCTTATGATTAAAGCGTCGCTCATATCAATGATCACATAACCAATACGATAAAACTATCACCATAAGAGAAGTTTAACAAATTTTTATGTACTATCCAACAAAATGAGAAAATTCGCCTTCAAAAAAATTAAAGATGACAATCAAATGAGAAAAAGACGGCTGATTTTTATCATATCACGTAAATATCTTGAATGAATAAATAACAAACAAAAATTCACAATGAAATAAAGTATGAAAAATTCGAATTATTACCCAAACATGGAACATCATTTGTTCCATTTCCTCAGCTATTCCTCAACAATAGTGCATTAAATTTATTGCAGCTAGTTTACTATTCGCAATGTGCTAACTCGTAATCCATTATACCAGTGGTCCCCATGCTAGTCAGACACTCCATTATCCTCTTCGATGGTCTAGCAGGCCGTCATCACCTCCTCTCCCCCTCCCCCTTGCTACAGTAATACTATTTCTACGCATAACGTCAGAAATAATTTCCCGACCTCCTCCATTACCTCCCTGACACCTTCAAATTACTCAAAAATGGACAATTTTTCCTCCCCCCCCTCCCCCTGTGTAGAACCCTGCACTATACACATATAGAGGCAAATAAAACTTTTTAGAAGAATATCAAGAAAAGAAACAATTTTCATAAGGTCTATACTTCCACATATTTATGATTACAAAACAAATGACGAAGTATTATGCACATTTGTTCCAATAAAATGACTGCAAAACATACATTTCACATAATACAATACAATAAAATATGTTTCTGGCACATACATTATTATATCATTACTCGTATTCATAGTACAGATAATGTGCGATCTACTGATCACTGACATTAATGAGAGAATCCTCTCAGATTGAAGTAAACAATAGTGCATTAAATTTGAGCACTGCATGGCTAGTCTCGAACGGTGATTTGTCAGTACCTCACTCTAAGATTACTTCACATCATGTATCCAGCCTTCATCAACCATCTGAGATCAAGCCTGCTCTGAGACGTACTCATTCATATCTCGTCAGTCCGCGATAATGCTTCACCCGAACATTGATAAGTAAGAAGTGATTGAGTGGAACATCAGCTCGTCGATTCATGGAATCGAAATCGTTGCACCATTGAGATAATAACAACCAAGAGCGTACAAATAGCGACCTGAATCGATAGTTTATATGGTATTCGGCATGGTTACAGTGCATACTGAATGGTTGTGTAGGACCTATAGCACGTTTTGTTCCGAATGCTATCTTTTATTGTGAGCAAATTACTTTATATTGTCACTGTTACTATTGACAACGAAAATTTCCTTGAAGAAAGAAAGAACTACGTTCTTCAATATTATTACTATATTGCATAGAATGACATGAGCGATACATTCAATTACAAGAAGAAATATATGATCGTTGAGACGTGCTAATGCTGTTGAGCGACTGAAAGCAACATTTCAACAGCCCGCAAACGATTTTGAATAAATAAATTTAAAATGAACTCACTAGAATAGTTGAAATAGATACAACGGCAAAAGACAATCGTGATATACAGACGACTTGTGCGGAATTGATTTTCTCGATCACCGTTTTCGGAGCGCTTTCAGTATCACATCGACTTCGACGCTCCATTTCACTACAAATTATCGTTTAATTTACATGAGCAACATAGCAAACTCCTGTTAAAGGATGAATGAAATGATGAAGTAGGAAATCGACTGATTGGACGTGGTAAAAGCTGACCTCTGCATAGTGCGACCAAATTCGACTATTTCAACCTCTTGACTGATAGCATCGAGGATATTCGCATTCGGATCAGACAACATCGATTGTAAACTTTTACTGTAAAATACAGTTATTTGAAACTGTGAGAATACTGATGATAACTAGAAGTACAATGATACTTTAGATCTTTCACTTCAAAAACAAAAATCGCAATGTTCCGGAATTGCATTGTATCATTGGAATAATAGTGATCAGCAAAAACGCTAACCGTTTTCGAGTTTTTGCAGTGGTACAACGAGGCGTTGGGCAAGTACCATTTTTTGACGGCAATAAACTCAACTGACACTGATAACGAACGTATGGCTTCTGTTCGATGCCGAATACGGACACATTCTGCGAGACGTTCAACTGAAGTGGTGATTACATGAAGTTGTATTGTATGAATGTTGCATGTAAACGCTTGAGCAAGTGAATGTATGAACCAACAATTGAGTGACGTTTAAGGTCTTTTATCTAACGAATTTGAGAAAATATCCATGGGAAAACCGGAGCATGAAAAAAGTGAGAATGTTTAGGAAATCCCAGTCATAAGTTTCGCACAAATTTGCTGTAATTAGCAACCATGGTAATTGGAGCCAAGACTTCATTTGTAATTTTTTGATGCTTGAAAGCTGAAAATGTTTGACTCCTTCTCAGTTTGCATGAGATCGTACTTATCGAAGTGCATGAAAGAAATTCTGATCGAGACTGTAAACTGGTCGAAACTTTATCAATGCACTGAATAATTCTATTTTGTAACTGACCTTATCAGAATAATTCAATTCCGGTATGATC